TGAACTAAACCCAAAACCCCTGGGTCCTTTGTGAGGGTTTCCTAAGTCTTAAGGGTGGTGGATGTGTCAAGGGCTTAGTTAGGGTCATTTCAGAAGAGCTGGGGTTTCTGGTTGCAGTTGGAGCTCTACATCAGCAGGGTGTCCATCCACGTTGATTCAGGGGGCCTGGTAACTTCTTGCCCATTCACCCAATGGATTGCATTACAACACTTTGTCGTCTCCTACCTGTGAATGGCATCATCATCCAGCTCTACATGCCAGAATGAAACAGGTCTGCCTTTTCTAAACCCCTAATTCCTGCCCGCTTTTCAACCCCAAATTGGAGCCCTGGTCTCTCTTCCCACTATCCAACCGGCAGCAGCAGCTTCTGATCAAACCAAACTGTATATAGATTATTTCAAAGCAATCCCATCCCAAGCTAAACCCTCAACCCTATCCCCTGAGCCACCTGCTTTATACCCTAGACCCTTACACTACAGACCCTAGCCTAAACCCTATCTTGCAATCGCAACGGAAACCCTCAACCCTGGCCCTAAGCCTACCACTTTATACCTTAGACCCTGCACACCCTATTTACTAAACCCCGCCTTGCAACCTAAACAGCACTAGTACGTACTTCTACTAGTACTACAACAACTACAAGAATAAGTACTACAACAACCATTACCACACACATAGCTTCATCTCCTGCAGTCTGCATCGGCGGAGCAATGGCGAAAAAGAAGCACAACCCGCCGAACCGCAATTCGAAAGAGTCGTACGTCAAGCGGCAGGAAGATCGCGCACGGAAGGCTGCTTGCAGGCATTCCAGTTCCTCCACCCCAGCTCTGTGATATTGTCAACCAGGAAAGTATTTAATAGTAACGGCGCAGCCAAATCAAAATAATACCCATCTGAATTTGGGGTTTAGGGTTTAGGTTCAGGGTTTTGGTTTAGGGTTTAGGGTTTTGGGAACAGTTTAAAGGTTCAGGGCATAGACTTCTGACTTTGACGAGGCCCACGCTGATGCTGCTGCGGCAAGGGAGCAGGCGGTGGCTGCGCGGGAGGAGGCTGCAGCTGCAAGGGAGGCGACTCTCCAGGCGGAGGAGGCTCGTCGAAAGGCACAGGAGGAGGAGGAGCGGCAGGAGCAGGAAAGGCGCAAAGTGCGCGTGGCGAAGAGACGCCATGAGGAGAACAGGTTCGAAGAGGAGATGAAGCAGCGACGGAAGGCTCAGGAGGAGGAGGAAAGAAGGCGCCAGCTGCGGGAGGAGTGGCGGAAGGAGGCGGCGCGGGAGGAGTGGCGGAAGGAGGCGGCGCGGGAGGAGGAGAACAAGAAGAGGCAGGCCATCGCTGCAGCCGAGGATTCTTAGCTTCTTGAGGAGGTTTTCTCACAATGTGCGGGCACCCTCCCCCTCCTCTGGATAAGCCTCGTGGTAATTTTTGCTCTTAATCAACAGAAGTTGAACAATCTCAGGTTTCAGGGGAGGGGTAGAGCAGTGCTTCAGCATAAACACTCAGGAGCTCAAGCAGCAATTCATTGCTGCGGGCAAGATGGGCTTCAAGCAGCTCTTGCTGGCACTTGCTGCATTGCCCCACACCTCTGGGCCGATCCTTGAGCAGTTTCTTGTGCATCTGGGTGGCGTCAACATGCTGTATAACATTCTGTGTGCTTGGGACTCGCATTCTCAGATTTTCTTTTTCGATTCCTAGGCTCCTAGACCTCTTCTTCATGTCAGGATAAGTCTGGAAACAGGTCCCTTGTGCACGAGGTGCCCCCACATTGATACATGTGGTTTCTACCTCTGAGGTCGGAAGGGCGAGGTGCGGAGCACTGCTGTGGGCATTCTGCTTTTGCTGCCATCCCGAATGGTCGCCGCCTCTCCGAAGTTTGGCGCTGTGGCTGAATGTTTGGAGGCTATCTGTGAGCAGGCACCTGTCATGGTCTGTGAGGGATCCGTAGTTACAAGGGTCTTTTTCTGGGCTTTAGGGGTAAAACAAACATCTTCTTCTCGGCCCACTGGTATGCCTAAATTAACTGCTCAACCCTAAACCCTAAACCCTTCAGCCTTGCAAACCAACTGAGCCCTGAAGGAGCCTGACCCGGAGATCTCCTCAAAGGCTCACATGGTTCTGCAGGCATGGTATAAGCAGGGCTACCTGAAGCAGGAGCCAGCATCCCCTCTCTTTGGAGACGCCACCTGACCCCATTTCAGTCTCATATGCTTTGGGCATTGCTGGGGGCCTTTCTATTCTGAAACACAAGAAAACCCAAACGGATCCTCTTGCATTGGCATCCAAGAAGAAGAAGAAGGAGAAGCAGCCCTCCTGCTCCTCCTCGTCATCGTCAAGCACTTCGCCTGCGCAGCCCAGCTCCTCAAAGGCCGTGCAAACCCAGCGTTTTGGGTTTGCCTGCTGTAGTGGGGCCCTGTAGATTTTCCTTTCGCCTAGTAGGCTTAGGGCTGTTCATATGCATCTGCAAGTGGGTGGGTTAGGTCGGTTAGGTCTATGGGTTTTGCGTTTAAAAGGGGGTGGATTGTCCTGTTGATCTCTGAAGGCAGCACCGAAGCCCAAAAAGGAGCCAAAGAAGAAACCAAAGAAGGAGTCCAGCGGTGGCCAGGCAGCACTTCAGCAAAAGTCACCGAAACCGATTGTAAAGACTCCATCCAGACTCTTTGGTTTTCGGTTGGGGTTTTAGGGTTTAAAGGTTTTAGGGTTTAAGGGCGTAAAGAATAGAACCTGATATTGCAGTTGGACCAAGTGGACAAATAAGGCACCTGACGCTTTGCTCGTGCGACTGGCCTCTTCGATGCTGCGAGCTGCGGTGGCATGGGCGGAGTCCTTTGCTTTGCAGCTGGCTTGCAAGTCGGCTCTCTGTTGTACCATACGTCTGGCCTCTGACTCTTCGCTAGTTGCCACGAAAGAAGCAGAGCTATGTTGCACAGCGAAGCTGGACCACTTGACAGGTAGACACTCACACATTCTTTCTCTTCCTCTCTTTCACACACACACACACACACGCACACACACACACACATAATATATCATACATACGCTGTGGACAGGTCCTGCTCTGCCTGTGTCGTTTCACCTGCTTGAAGTGCACCGCGAACAGTGAAAGTGAGGATAGGGAAGCACAGGGTTCGGGGTGAGGAGTTTTCTTGGTTTTGGGAAGTTCAGATTGTGTGACGGATGTATCCAATCTTTCCGCTTGAACCCTAAAGCCTCTGAGCCTCTGTATCTAATCTTTCCGCTTGAACCCTAAAGCCTCGGAGCCTCTGTACGTAATCTTTCCGCTTGAACCCTAAAGCCTCTTGAAACCCCTGGGAAGCAGCAGGGATGCGGCAGTTCAAGGCATGTGGGAGTTCTGAAAAGTAGGGGCAGCTAAAAAAGTAAAAAGGATCTATAGGGGTTTGGGGTTTAGGGTAGTTTAACAGTTTTGGGCCCCGCTTAGGGCATCCTCCCAAGCCAGACTTGAACCCGACCCTGAACCCCAACCCTTGAACGCTTTGCAGCTTCAATGCCCTGTAGTGCCTACCAAGCCCCAACCCTGACGGCCACTTGATGAGTGCTCTGAGCGAAAAACAGCAGGTGCGCGCGCGCGCGCGCGCGCGCGCTCCCCCCCCCACCTCGCCAGCCCTAACCCTAACCCGGGTTTAGTTACACATTAAGACCGACACTCCCGAAATTCTACGGCCTGCGAGGCGTTCTCCAGGACCCTGAACCCCATGCACCTTAATGCCTTCCAAGCCCCAACACCGGACACGAAAAACAGCAGGTGCGCGCGCGCGCGCGCGCGCGCGCGCGCGCCCTCCCCCCCCCGCATGGTGCACCTCGCCAGCCCTAACCCTAACCCGACCCTGAACCCCATGCACCGTAATGCCTTCCAAGCCCCAACACCGGATAGTTGAGTTTCCTGTTTTAGAGTAGAGCAGGACAAGCAAACAAAGCCAGCCCGCCCCAACCATCCAGGCCCTGAGCCCTAAACCCTCAACCTCTTGCACATTCATGCTTGCCAAGCGCCCTGCCCCTCACCCTAACCTGAACCTAACCCTGAACCCTTTGCAGCCTTAATGCCCGCAAGCTCTAAGCAGCCACAAAAGTCTGAGCCTTCAAATGCGAGGACCTGGCAGCCTGGATCTCCATTGGAGCAGGGCACCTCAGCTCTGAGGGGTTATGGGCTGTTGGGCAATGTAGGGTTGAGCTTTTTTGGGTTTAGTTACACATTAAGACCGACACTCCCGAAATTCTAAACCAACTTAACGGCCTGCGAGGTGTTCTCCGCAGATCTGCAATGACAGTGCTACTCTAGTTTTTTCTTGTGGGCTTTTTGCTTCAGGTTCTAGCCTCGGCTGTCTTGCTGTAATGGTTTGTGACCGGTTTGTGGATTGCAGGTGTCTGATGTGCTGGGGTACCTCAGTTGACCATCACACTGCAGGGGTCATGGCCTCACAGCTGCAAGGGGCAGACTTAAGTCCACCAACCAACTTGCAGGGGGCCATTCGACCAGCAAACTGCAGGGGGCCATTGGGTATTACAGTTGTATATAGGAGGTGAGCAGGCTATTGTTTCCAGTTTCTGCAGTTGTGGCTGTACATGAAGCCCCCGAACCCCAAGCCTGTTCGGATATGGGAAGCATGTTTTAGGGGGGTGTAGCTTCCTTACAATGTCAATTGAAGCCCAAAGCCAAGCAGAGAACCTGCACCAGACTTCCTTTAAACTGGAACTTGAAAGCCCCAGACCTGCAGCCCAGAAACTCCAGCACACTTTTATTAAAGTTTATTAGCAGACAGCTGCCCTTGCTGGCAAAGGTGGCAGATGATGAAGATCAGCAGGTGGTGCAGGAGTCCAAGCTTCTGGGTGTTGGCTGGGCCTCACAAATGTAGGGTTGCGTTGAGAATCCAGCCTAGGGGTTTGGGGATTTGGAGTTTTTTTTTTCGCCTGTGGTTCACACAGAGCTGCGCATCTGTTTGCAGAGTCGGCCCTGCATTTTTGATAATCTGTGCAGACTGTCTCTAGAGACTCTAGAGAAAGAAGTGAAACTTCTCATCGTGCTTCTTCTTCCCCGCACGACGTTGCACCTTTCTCCACGCATTTCGGCTGCACTTCTTCGCAGCCCCAGGTTGATGAGCTGCTGGCTCTTCCGCGTCCTCATGAACCGCGTCCTCATGAACCTCGTCATCATGAACCTGTTCTGCAGGAGGTGCTCCTCTTTTCGCAGTAGCTGGTAGTTGGGCTGAGGAACTGCTGCTAGCAGCCTCACGTGAGACTTCCTGCGAATCTTCACAGTGCCCATTGTCTGCCCCTGCAGAAGGCATCTCCTTTAAGGGAACAGCTGCGTATTCCACCGCCTTCCTGACTTGTGACACTCTGCAGTGTGTGTAGTGCCTGCGGAAGGTCGATACATCAACGCGCTGTTGTACATTCAAGACAGCAGCTTCGGAAGGCGGCTCCTGTTGCACGGCTCCAGGATTGAACAGCAAAAGCGTTGCGGCTGTGTGTCTTGTTGCCCCGTGCAGGGTCGTGTGGGAGCCGTTAAAGATAGCATCCGGGTTAAAGCACCGCTTGCCTGTTAACCCATACATGAATTCCCGAGTTTTTGCCACTGCGTTCCAGCAGCTCTGGCGGGACATCCACGATGTTTTGGATGTTCTGAGGGCAGGAAACCATAAGCTGTCTTTCTCTAGAGCTCCTGGCTGGAAGGTCTTCTTTGTCGTCGGCTTGTTCTTCGCGAACATCTCGCCGTGCGAGGACTGGTATTTCTCCAGAATAGGCCAGCAGGCCCAAGGTAGTCCTTCTGCCAGGATCGTGCGAATGGTGGAGATGGTGGTTTTGGAAAGACGGGCAATAGCCACTTTGCCACGTATTTTGCCAAGTCCCGGTTTCTTTTTATCCTGCGGCCTCTCTTTGACTAGCACATGAGGGTCATCACAGAAGCCACCGCCATCCAAGTGAAAATCCCGGCCTCTGACTCGTAAAATCTCTGAAATGCGGCGGCTGGTGCACATCGTGAGCCACACTGCAGCAAGATACACTGGTCCGCAGCAAAACAGCAGACAGGCCCAGAACAGCTGTAAATCCTCATACTCTATAAACACATTGCTGGAGTCGGCCACGGTTTGCTTCCGGTCTTTATTCCACGGCTTCTTGACCTTCTTGACAGGCTTGCCAGTTGCTCTCTTCTTCTTGACCTTCTTGACAGGCTTCGCCTGTTGTCGTCGTGGCATGGCCCTGTCAAGGGAGGGGTTTGATCCAAAACTATACCTTGGCACTAGCTCTGCATGCTCTTCTACAGTGCTATATCTTCTGACCCGTGGAGCTAAAACTATACGTTGGCACTAGCTCTGCATGCTCTTCTACAGTGCTATATCTTCTGACCCGTGGTTTGCATGATTGATGGGCAGCAACAAACAAGTGGTGTCTGAGCAATCGCAGCTTTGGAGCAGTCCCAAGTTCATTCCCTTGTTCAACTGTGCTAGCTGGCAGTGTAACATATCCAGCTGTTTCACCTTACCTTGATAACCTGCACTTCTTGCTGAGCCTGTGCGACCCAGCCTCATCACAGTTGCATTGCGAGGAGACAATGGGACTCGCGCCACTGCCTGCGCTGGAGGCTTTGATTCAGAGCTTGCTTCCTTCAGGCGACTTTGCAATAGGCCAGGTTTTTAAGGGGTGTCTGGTGGGTAGCAATGCCCCCGGCCCGACCCGGGACCGTAACTAGAGGCGTCTGGTGGGCTGAAAAGCCCCCGGCCGACCCTAAAGTTTAAGCATGCCCAGGGCCAAGACTGTGAAGCAACTATCAGCGCCACAACCCAGGACTATATACTATCTTCTGACCCCTTTGAAAAGAAAGCCTTGTTAGGAACGAGTTGAAGCTTACTTTACTAGTTGGGTTTTGGGAATCCTTTTGGGGAAGTCTCGAGCATTTGGGGTCCAGAGCCCAAAACCCTGGGATAGACAAATGCTCCGCCATCGGTTTGCGGCTCCAGGGCCCCCCCCCCCCCGCAAATGCTAACGCAAATGCTCGCGGCAAGGTGTGGGCCCGGCAGTTGCCGGCTTGGCCTTTTGCCACGGTCATTTCCTGCCTCATTTACAGGGTGGGGAGGGGACCGCAGCAGCAAGCCTTTGTTGAAGCACTTGACTGATTCACTGTTTGCGGCGCCTGCTAGCATTTACTCATTCTGGCATTTCTGGTTTGTTCGGATAACTGCGACCGGGCAGACCTTGGGCTCCTTGTGTGCGTTTGTCGTAGGGCCTCTCTGCCAGGATTCTGATAGGCGCCTATGGCGGGCTTCTTGCAAGAATTCCTGTGCGAGGAGGATGACAAGCAGCTGGATTGTGATGAGGCGTCAGCTACCTTACCGGCTAGTTCACCGCAGAAGGGTTCCCCGAAGAAGGTCGCTGGCAAACCGGTGACTCCCCAGAAATCGTCTGCTTCATCGTCACCCCAGAAGCCGGGTTCCTCAACTCCGAAAGCGAAGGCGAAGCAGAGTCCCAAGAGCAGCGCCAAGACGAGACCTCCTTCCTTTGGTGGCCGTGGAAAGGATACCAAGAAAAGGGCCGTGAGAGGAACAATGGGCACATTTGCTGGGCGGAGGTTGCCACCGACTCCTGATGGAGCAGCCCAGTTTGTGCGGATCCGGGATGCCTACTACAAAATGAAGGCTGAGAACGGCAAGCCGAGGATTTCGATCAACCAGGCGGACTTTTGGCAGAAGATGTCGTCAGCCGAGGACTTTGGGGTTGCACTGGCCAAATATGTCCAGCTGCACTGGAGCAAGTCGGTCCAGTAGGTTTTGAATGCTGCAAAGCAGCAGGGTGGAGCCTCCGGCAGTGACATCACTGTCGCCTGTAGGCTTGGGGTGTGTCAGATTCAGCGCAGATCGACCCACGCACAAATCTTATCTGCAGAGTCGTTGCATCTGTGTGTCCAGTTGAAGATCACAGTGAGCCCTGCAAAGTCTTCGCATCTTTATGTCCGCTTGAAGATCAGACAGCGCCACATTCATGTTGTTGCACTTTTGTGTGATGAACATGTGCAGAGATGAGTGAGATTAAAGACGCATGTTTGCACTGGCAATCTTGGGCAGTTTTTCACAGCTCAAGAGAGTTGCAGGACGCTGTTTCAGAGTGAGGGAGTGACATGGCCTTGCCAGACCAGTTGCGAAATCACTCAGTCCACGGCTACAACTTGGCCAAAACTCTTCGGAAATGGCAGCATGTGGAGCGAACCTGTGATGTTCTTGAAATTTGGGCTGGTGTCGGCTCAGTTGCTTCAGCAGCGCGGAAGCTTTCACTTTCAGCCCGAGAGATCGAGCTGCACCGAGTGCCTGGCACAACCGATGACCCGACCAACAAGGAGACTGAAGACCTGATGTCTGAGCGGGGCGTTGCCAATGCCCTGGAGGCGTTGATGTCCATGAAGCCGGGGGGACTGGTCATGATGGGGCCGGTCTGTTCATCCATGGTCTTTATGAACTCCTCAAGGTGCTGCAGGACACATGACAATGTTTGGGGGGATGAGACGTATGCCCCAGTCCAAGAAGGAAATCACTTTGCGAATTGCATGGTGCTGTTCTTGATGGTCTCTGACGCTCGCGGGCTACATGCAGTCTGCGAACAGCCAAAAGGGTCTGTGCTGTGGAAACTCCCGCCGGTAAGACTTGCTCTGGATCATTTGCAGCTGACCTCCACCCTAACACCTCGGTGTGCATTCGACCGCAAGCCGTTCGGACAACGCTTTCTCAAAGTCTTCAAACTCTACGGCCCCTCGTGGATCCTTAACATGTGTCGCACGTGCAGGTGCCCCAATGGAAAGCACCAGGCCCTCGTGAAGACTTCTGCAGATGGCAGTGTGACTGGCATCCATGATGCACTCGCAGAGTCGGGTGCATACCCGAAGGCCATGGGGCACGCCTTGGTTAGATCCTGGTTGAAGGGGTTGGGAGCAGCAGCGCCGCTTCTTAATCAGAAAGGCCAGAAGCGCAAGGCCAGCTCGGAGCCAGCAGTGATGAAGAAGCCTGCAGCGGGTTCCGGCTGGAAGCAGCCTCCCTTGAGTTTGTGAGCTCACATGCAGCGTGTGAATCCAAACTTAGAAAATTCAGGAAGGGATGGAACTTCCATCCTGCTACAAGCTCGTGCAATGGAGAGGACAGAAGTGCAAAACCAGGATTGCCAGTGCTGATCACTCAACTGTTTACTGCTCTGCGCGGGCCAATTGGCCGATGTCTTGTGTGCAACAATATGTGCCGTCTTTGACAGTGGGTTTTGGGCACGAGGTTGCAGGGTGTATCTTGAAGTGATAAAGTAGCAGAAACATGTAGGAAGTGCAAAACCATTGCTGGTGTTTTCAGTTGTATGAACCATATGAGCTGGAAGAGACCTCCAGCTGTCTTGAGCGATGCTGATGCCCCAGCAACTGACCTTCTTCTGCAGGGGTCGTGGAAGAAGCCTGACCTGAATCTTGATTCGTGTGCTCCAGATGCTTCAGCAGAAGGCCTGCCGAAGAAGCGTAAGCATGCCTGTGACACATGGCAGAAGCCCAGCTTGACTATCAAGCCCTGCAGCAGTTTTGCAAGTGCAAAGTCAGGCCAGTGCGTTCAAGCAAACTGGATGCAACCAGCTTTGTCATTGGACACTGAAGCCACCCGTGACACTTTACAGAACGTGCACTGTCAGCATCATGAGATTTCAGTGGATGCCGGCATGCTTGGTCTTTTGGTCCCCTCAGATGCAGCTGAGAACTCCTACTGTGCACATGCAAAAGATCCCGGCCGCATCACCTCTGTGCTGGCAGGTCGTTGTGGCTGCTGCAGCAATTGCTTCAAAGACCAGAAAGCAAAGGCTGTGGAAGAGATCGCTGCTTTGTGGCATGGGCTCAGTGAAGAGCAACAGACGCAGTACCTGCAAGGCCAGTGGCAAGGCCCACTGGCTCCTGAGGCTACAGAGGCGGTTTCGCACAGAACCAAGTGGCGCCTGGCTGGCAAGTCCATTTGTCTCAGGGGGCTGGCAAGCTTGCTGGGCACTGCAGAGAGAACTTTGCAAAAGAGATTGAAAGGGGTTCTGGACATGAGGAAAAATCACTTGCAGTCTGGGAGCCTTGGTCGCCAGGTCCCCAAGCAGCAGGCAATCATCGACTTGTTTTTCAGCGAGTTGTACCACAGTGTGGCAGAAGATTTGCCAGAGAAAAGAAGCGAACAATCTGCTACTGAGTTTGCTGAAACCCTTGAAGATGCCTTCTACTGGACACCAGAAGCATGCCTTGCCCAGAATATTGTGACACTCCAAAGCCCGCAAAGGCCAGAAGGACGAGTACGAACATTGCCGCCTGGGCGGCCAATCCTGCTCTTTCTGCGGTTCAAAGCATGGTTTTCAGCCAACCAATCAATGTTGCAGCGGAGTGGCTCCCCAGAGGGCCAGATTTGCGCCCAAATGCCAAGCTGGTCAACTTGGTGGAGGATGTGGGTGAATAAATGGAGTTCACTCATGTCTTTCCGCAAAGCTTCCCAGCACAAGGATTGCAACACCTGCTTTGAAATCCGACAGCTGCTACAGAAGTCTTCTGTGCCTCGGTCTGAGAAAGCTGTTCTGGCTTTACAGCTCCAGGAGCACTTGCGCAGCCAGTATCATGATCGAATGATCTACTGGGCTTTGCGCCACAGCTCCCAACGACGTTCGGGGGTGGTGTCCATAATGATAGATGCAATGGACAAAGGAAAGACGGTCTGGCCGGCATACCCATGGCACAAATCTCCTGCCTCTCTTCAGGGCCTTTGCCGCCCTCAGCTCATTTTGACAGGAGCGTTAGTCCACGGGTGGTTCACGGGGATGTATTTTCAGGATGCACGTCTACATCATGGTGCCTCAGCTCACTTGGAAATCATCTTTCGTTGCCTCGACAAGGTCATGTCCATGGCAGCTGAAGCTGGATGTGATTTTCCCAAGCACTTGCACATCCAGGCAGACAATACGACCTCGGCCATCAAGAATCAGTACCTGACTCAGGCAGCAGCCTTCCTGGCCGGCACCGGCCGCTTTTTGTCTGTTACAGTGGGTTTCCTTGTGGAAGGCCATACGCATGAAGATCTTGACAGGGCTTTTGCGTTTGTCAATCAAAAGGTCATTCGCTCGAAAACAATTGAGACGCCCTCTGATTTCAAGGCAGCTTTGATTCAGGAGTTGCAGCCCATTGCATCACACAAGGGAGAAAAGCTCGTTGTCGAAGAGGTCCGGCATGTGCGGGACTTCCGGGAATGGCTTTCTGGGTTGAAGATGAGTGCCAGTGGCTGCTACCAGGCCCATAAAGGTGGGGGGAATCAGAAGAGGCCCGTTCCACACTCCTTCGTGTACAAGTGCTACGCTGACTTGCTGCCGAAGGAGGTTGAAAAAATCAAGAGGCCACGCCGAGCAGCCATCTCTGCAGCAGAGGACGTCTATGCAATCATGAAGGGACGGATGTATATGACTGAGTCACTTCCGCCTGTTCTTGTCCTTCGCAAGTCTGTGCTTGAGGC